TAAGAAGGCAGTTTTTCATGTGAGATTATATCCCTTGCAAAATATTCCTTCAGCAGCTAGACGGAGGCAGTGATGTAAGAAGGGAGCATTCCCTTCCTTGCTTTTTACCAGGTACTAAGAGTGTGACCTCTGTGATTCTCCCTATAGAACAGAGGCAAGAAAAACTCTTTTGTCATGATGAAATCCAAACCCCCGACATGATGGGGCACAGCATGAACAGCCAGATTGTCTTTTTGCTTTCCTTTGCTTTGAGATAACCCAAGCATGTGTCTTTGTGGCTTATGTTAAAGGTGACCTGCAAATGGGGGTCAACATTGAAACATGGTAAACTTGAAATGAAATGTGCTTCTTTTTTTTTTTTCCCCCTTGTTTTTTTTTTTTTTTTTAAACATTAGGTATTTAGGCCAGTCTACCCTGTAAGACTCTTGGCAGCTGGAGTATTACTGAAATGGGTTCTTCAAAAAAATGGAGCTGCAAAAAGCAAAAGCTGTTTTAGTTGGTTTTTTGAAACCTACAGATACCCATTTGACTTCAATGACTAAATAACATTTTGAGTAAAAAAAGCCCCTCTTATGTATTCTGAATCCTTTCATTCTGTTTTAAATAATCCCAGAGGCTCTCAAAAATTCTGCAGCAAAGCCAGAATATATTAGATCTCACATGCTTTGTGCTTGGAAGGTAAATAAAATGGAGATAGAAAAACAATTTCAGACATTAATTGTCATAGAGAAAATAACAACAGTTCTGTTAATTGAACATCATCACAGGTTACCTTGGACAAAACTGCTTTGTGCTCTTAGCGCTCAAAATGGATCACAGCTCTTACCTGGTCAAGTATGTGGAAGATAAACCAATAGGGCTGCTAACTAGCACATGAAATGATATGGCCAAACATATTTGCAGCTATCTGTTTGTGTGATCTGTGCTTTTACTTCACAAGGTAAGATTTCCTTGTGACAAAATGAACATTGTAAAGGGCACCTTGCCCATGACATAGGGAATGTATTTCCCACTAGTTTTGCTCCTTTCTTGAAGTTGGTGCTTCTGTCTGCCTGCCTTCCTCTGCTTCCCCTGCCTAGCCTCTGCTTTTGGACTCAGGCAGTTGAAGCATCTTCCATTGAAGGGCAGCAGAACTGAACTATCAGCAAAAACACTTTTAAAGCTTTGAGATCGACTCCTTCCGAGGTTGTTGTGTCAGCTTCCCTGCCTTCTGCCTGCCATTAATTTCACTGGATCCACAGGTCAAACAACTGGCCAAAAATCTGGAAAACAGCTGACGGTCAGAGCAGCTCCTACTCAGCATGCCCTGTCAGAGGGCACACTTCGGGCCTGGTCCTTTTGAGTGGCTGGACCTGCTTGACCCAATTTGTGGATTTTTGATCACTCCCCTGGGTCACTGATTTTCCACTTGAGGTTATTGGTTTGACCCCCAAACCGTGGGTCACTTGGGAGGTGTGATGCAGCCCTGTGAACTCTGAACTCATCAGGAGCCTACAAAAACAGCAACGAAGGGAAGAGGAATTTCATTAAGGCCTCCTCGGAGGTGGCAGTGTCTGCCGAAAGGAAAGGCGGGGGTTGTTTTGGTTCTTGAGGAAACAAGCGTAGCATCTACAAGGGGCTGCCAAGAAGAAAGTGTTTTGCTTGGTTGTTACGGAGATTACTTTAAAGGCAAACAACAGCATATACCTTTACACCATGAGCTATCAAGCAAAAATGGCGTTGGTTCAGAGGGGCCCTGCTTGTTCTGCTTAGGACTGCTCCCAGCCTCCCAGACTTACTCCTAATAGTGACAGCATTGCTATAGCTAGGCTTTGGCATCTGTACATGTTTCTTCTTCCTCAAGAAGACTGAGAGCTAATTTGAAGCACTTGGGAAGGGAAAGGCTGTTCTTTCCTGTATCTGAAAACATGTCAGTTGGAGGTTCACGACAGAGACTCCCCAGGCTGGTGGTTTGTGCTGTGGGCAGCTCCCTAAAAGCAGACTGCAGCAAGCACGGCTGGTAGGTGGGGAAGAATGGATCCTTAGGATCCTTAGGAAATAAATCAGTTTCAACATGCTGTGCTGGTCATAAAGGGGAAGAAAAGCACCATCTTTTGTAGCACATGCACTTGCATGCCCAACACCCGCCTGAGTCACTGGGGAAATGAGCTGCAGAGGGTGGGACAGTCATGAGGATATCCTTCATGAAATTTCCCCTGGTCATGCTGTTCAGGAGCTGGCTTTGGGGCACAGTTACCGGAGTTCTCCGAGCTTTTGCTCACAAGATAGTTCCAGCAATCATTAATTAGATCACTGATAATGTTATTGTCAAGGCTGTCAAAAAAAAAAACAAACCAACAACTTGCATGCCACCTTCTAGGGCTTTCCATGCCAAATGAATTCGAGCCTTGTCTCTTAGCATAACCCCTCCTCCAGGTGCTATCCCAAATTCTGAGGAGTACATTCCAAAATGACAGCAGATCTGGGTGTTTCAGAGGAGAGAGACTGGTCTGAAAGAGAACAGTTTATATATTTCTGTATTTTCAAGAAAGATTATGTCCTTCATACACAGTCCTTTGCAGTCTACCTACACAACAAAGGGTGGTGTAAGTGTACAAATGGTGGAATTTTTTTATAGCATAGCACTGAAGACCCAAGCCATGAGCTCAAGCTGCTGGATACATGCTTCATGTCTCTGGCACGCTTGTACCATGGTACATCTTTGCTGCACAATCCCAGGTCAAAGCTGCCTGAATGTGCTACCCTGTGCACTTTCTTCCAGAACTGGCCTGCCTGAGCCTTCCTGGCATTGGCTCTGCTGGGAGCTGAGCAGCCTGCTGGATGGCAAAGCACATCCCACTCTGCTGCCACATCCAGGCCTGCCCTGCGAGCTGAGGGATGAGCTGTGCTGGAGGCTTAGAAGATGCTGTGGCTCAGTCCTGTTTTCTGCAGTCATTTTGGTACTAACTAATCTTGATTTTGTTATTTTAGAGTAATTCAGTGTAGTAGTTAGATCTCTGTCCAAAAGCTGCCTGGCTCCTTGGTGAATTCTAGGTCAAGTTCCAGGTTCAGTCCCTTCTTAATGTGATCCACAAGAGTTTGGTTGATTACAGCTGCTGATGAGAACATCTTTTCAAATCTAATAAACAGGATCTTGAGCATTATCCTTAATTAAAAGGTGATGGCTGTAGGTTTGACATTTGTTCCTCTTGGTTTGCTGCTTGACACAAAGCAGTTCTGAACATCGCAGAAGCCTTTTCTGATTGGAAGCGCATTTTTATGCACAGAAGAATTAACAGCTGAGTGGGATGGGACTGACTAGCAAACAAGCCTTCATATGGAAACACGTGGAGCAAATTTTTGGCCTGCTGTAGAAATTAGGCTTTGTTGCAAGGCGTAGGTGTGTGAGCAGAGATAGCAGTTGTCTCAACACATGCGGATAAGAGTCCTTTTAGTATCTCAGAGGGTGGCTTCAGGCCCTTCAGCACTTTGTCTGGACTGTCTCACAAAGAGAGAGAGGAAAAAAAAGTCAGGAGTGCCTGTCTTTTATAACATTCTGTTTTTAAAGCAAAAAGTCTCTGGGGAGCATGGGGTCCTAAAAGTCCAAGGCCTGGAATTCTTCCTTTTGCTCTTTCCATTTTAAACAGGAAACATTTGCACTAAGTTATTCCACAGAGAAAATTGTAGGTTCATTTCAAGGCAGATAATGTTTGTTCATTGCCTGTGTCCATGATTTACCCCATGGGCTTAAACGAGTGCAGCAGAAAACCACATGTTTTGTTTTACTTCATGCAAAACAAGTTCCAGTGGAGTCTGGAAGCCCAGATTAAGTAGGGGAGGCAAGCTTGTAAAATCTATGTGTGAACAAAAGAGAGGCATTGACGAATTGTGATCACCTGATCTGCTGTACCAGAATGATGACTTTTTAAATAAATCTATGGAAAGACTGTTTAAACAGTTCATGAGTTTAGTCCCAAACCCACAGAGCAGGTGTAATTGATTTATACTTTCGGCCCCTGTTTTGGGTCAAAACCCTGCCATCTTCCTTCAGCTCACACTTGGAGAGGGGCTGCCTGTGCAGTCAATGGGAGATTTTGCCAAATGCAAAGGCATTTGCAATCAGACTGGCAAAACCTCCTAATTGAGTTGAACTTTTGTGGGTGCCCTGGTTGACATGTCTGTGAGAACAATTATTTTTGCCATTTCAAAAGTATCACAAGTTAAGCTGTACTAGGAAAAGATATTAGTCCTTCATTAGTGCAAATCATGGAATTAAGATGCAAAAAGCTACAGAGAGGGCTCCGTGGCACATCCTCAGGGATGTCATGTTCACATGTTGCTTTCCACGTGAACTGGAGCTTGTCAGATCCATACTGATGCATACAAGTTACAGACAGGTTACAGAGCTGTTGTAATATCAGGCCTTACAGATCACAAGAGTGTTGTTTTTAAACCTCATTGGCAGCTCGCCCATTAAACACAGGTATTATAACCTGACATCCCTAGTGCTTCTTCCAGGAGTTCCAGTTTTTCCAACTATGGTGTTTGGAAAGCTTTATGGTCTGACATGTTAGGAGAAAAAATAGTGGGAAATGGCTTGGAAACCATGAATATTTGTGCATGTAAAGCTTATGGGATTTGCAGACTTGCAGACCCAACTCATCTGTTTATCCTCAGGCCAGATAAGATTCAGTCAAACATGCATTGTTTAAAGGAGCTTTGTTTCCATTATGACAAATGCATCACAGGAGGCTGACTTTGGGAACTGAAGGGCTCCAGTGCTTCCCCATTGTAAAAGGGCTGTGATGTGTGCTGGACCCTTCTTCCAGCGTCCTGGGTGTCACAGACTTTTGTAGCTTGCAGGTGGGAGGCTTGGTATCCTTCAGAAGTTCTTTTGACTCATTTGGACCTGTCATGCTTGAGGTGGCATTTCCTTTCCCAAAGTAAACAGACTGTGAGTACAATAACATGTCACTGAGCTAGTAAAACGCTTTTAATGGGCTTTATGCTTTCCTCTTCAGACGTGGACCTGCAGAGCCACTGGAATATTTAACAGGGCCGCGAGTGATCTACAAAGAGAGAGATCTTCCCTACTACCAAGGAGGAGGACAGCCTGTTGTCCACACATCTAAGGGGAACTACATCCATGCACCAGACACAAGAGTGACAGAACCGAGATACCCCCAGTACTACCCAGCCCAGTCCATCCCAAACCAGCACAAAGGACCCTTCCGGCAGGACGTGCCACCTTCTCCTCCTCAGCCCCACCGTGCACCAGCTTATAATGAGATTATCCGACACCGTGGGACCAGTCCAGACCAGTACCAGTACAGGCAACAGGATCCCAGGCAGAAGAACCCCATGACTGCAGCTGTATAGCCACACACTGGACTTGCCAGCACAGCCCAGGAGGAATCCTGTTGGACATCGACCCTTTAGAGTTGTTCCCAAGCATGGCTGCCTCTGCCTGTAAGATTGGCACAAGACCTGGAGTCGTTTGTACTGAGCTGGGCTCAGCATAGGTGCTTTCTGACAGGTGAATTAAAGCCATGGGTGGTACGATGTGTTTTGAATATGTGAGGTACCAGACAGTTGAGTATTTTTTAATTCCTTTTTAAAAATAGAAAGTGGCTGCTGGAAACGAAGCGCAACACTTATTACACCTCAGGGCTATTTACCGAATCTGGTTACACCAATACAGTACGTAGCTGTCTGTCCAGCGGCAGCAGTATCACCAGTTTACTCCAGAGCTCTGTGGCAGAGCCTCTCAGTGAGAACATAGCAAGCAGTGTGGACTTCTCATGGAGCTGGAGATCTTGTGAGATCAGCTGACAGGGGCTTCACAGAGTCAGCAGCTATGTTCCAGTCACATTCAGACCAGCAGCACTGTGTGCTAAGGATGCTGCAGTTCCAGATTTGTAACCTCACATTTGTCTTCCTCTTTCTGTTTGGTAGTGGCAGCATTAATCTTGTAGCCTTACCTTTTTTCACAATCTGCCTAGCAAGATTCTCCTCTTATTGTACCTGCTGCATTTGGAGTAAGGCAAAAAACTTTATCCACCACATATGGGCAGGCTCAGAGGATAAGACAGCCATCCAAGAAGTGTGTGTCTAGCAGTGCATGAGTGCTTGTGAGCATTTCGTAGTCACATGGTTTGCACTCTTTAAAGGTAAACTCCAGAAATCAGATCGTCAGCTGCTGTTAGTGCTGCTCCTGGGATTTTCAAAGGAACTAGCCTGCGAGTCATGGCTGTGGAGGTGACTGTGGACTTGGAATCCATGACTCAAAATCTATTAAGTTACTGTACCAGGTGCTGCTTTGGATTGGGCAGGGCAACCTAACTCCTGACCTGCTCTGACCAGGGTGACAGTCAAGTGCTTGCTGGCAGCATGTGAGCTGATGGTGGTGCCAGGCCAGTGCCAAGTGCCAAACAACCCAGGTTCCTGCAGCGAGAGCCAGTGGGAGAGGAGAGCCAGGAGTGAGAGGTGAGGAAAGAGACAATGAAAGCAATAGGGAGATCTTCAAAACCCTGGGCCCCTGGAAGAAGAGGAGTGAAGAGCTGTAGGAGTTATTTGCAAAAGTGCATAGGAAGAGAGTGGGCTGGCAGAGCAGGGGGTCGGGAGCGCCTGCCAGCTCTCTGCCCCATTCAGCTTAAGCTTGCAGTGCAGCCAGGAGGCCAGAAATCTACAGCCATGTCCACACACACACATGTGCCATCTGGCCCAATAGGGCTGTGGGCCCTCAGAGCTTTGTCTCAAGGGTTTTGTTGAAGGGTAGTCTTACTACCTAGAAATATAGAGCATCCAAGTGCCCTTAATTTCTCAGTATCTGCTTTTGGGAGCATTATTAAGTAGTTTGGGCTCCTTTCCTCATCATGAAGAGATCATGACCTGGCCAAGGATTAAGCTCAAGGATTTCTTTGATGTTTTTTTGAGACCTTGATATGCAACAGATTAAATAGTACAGGTCACTTCTAGGCATTAAATATCACAGGAAGGTCTATCCTGTCAGGAGCACATCCCTTTCCTAGAAACCCCTGGAAAAGGTCTCATTAGAGCAAGAGGTCCACAAGGCACAGGGCAGGGCAGTTGGTGCTCTTTCTGGGGCCACAGCTGTAGCCTCTGGTGAGGATGAGCACATATCCCAGTCAGCCCAGTGCTGCCTGTATACTGCCAGTGAGAGGTGGTGGAACTGGAGCACTGGGAGTGCCTGTGCCTGCCCTGCTGGCCTGCAGGCTCCAGTGGCTGCATTCACACCAATCCCTAGCACTGGCCAGGCTGGAAGCAGTGGGAAGAAGCAGCTTTGGGGTGATGGGGAGGGGACATGTCTCTGTGATTCAGCTGCGGGGCTGGGCTCCCTGGAGCAGGGGCAGGAGAGCTCCAGATCCAGTCAGGAAGAAGCATTGGTGGGAGGGAGAGCAATGCAACTGATCGTGAAGTAAGTATGTTCAGTTCGTGCTCCATTTCTCCCTGCCCTCTTCCCTAGAAATGTAGGAGGGAAAACTTCTGGAGGGAGGGGTTGGATGTAAGGCCGAGTCTCTTGGCACCCTCCATAAACAAGGCACATTCCCCAGGGAAACTCTGCCTGTCGCATACGTGCTGTACGCAGCCTTCTCTGAAGAGTTTGAGATGCTGCAGGATACTCAGCCAAGACTTGGCAGCCACAGGGTAGATGCTGGTGTTATGAAGGCCCGCTGAAAGTGAAGCGAAAACAAATTAAAATACTTTCCTTTCCCTGCTTGAAATACAACCGCTGATACATTTGATCCAGCTGTAAAGAAACTTATATATTTGCGACAGTGGCTTTATCAAGCCAGGCCACAATTAAGAACAGCTCTGAATATAAGCTACTGCCTTTATAAATCACTCTCAACTAACCCTTCACATGGCATTGCAGCACAGTGAGCAGAACTTATTTACAGTATTTCAGGAGCCAGGGCCAAATAAAATCTGGATGGAAGCAGTTCCTGGGTTATTTATAGCCTTTGGAGGACCTGTGTAGTTGTCTCCCCATAACCTGAATCTCTCCTTAATGGCTCCCCCTGACTGCATCAGCTCTGCTAGACGAGGCGGTCAGACTGAGCGCACACCTTCTGAGCTGTTAATCTTACCCAACGGGTTATTAAATGATGTTTCAGTGTTAGATCAGTACAGAGCTTCTTCCAGGAAAAAAGGAAAATGTGCTGCAAGCATAATATATAGATGCATCCTACAGGCGAGGAGCTAAGATGGAGCGGCAGGCTGACCTAGCTGGAGGACAGCACCCAAAAGCATTGCAGAGTCTCCCATCTGTCTCTGGTGCCATTGTTCTGCGAGGAAATTGCCCTTTGCAGGTTTGATATCTGCTAGAGGTATGGTTTTTTTAAAAGTATAATGTGTAACTACAGTATATATAGTCAGCTTCTCTGCAGTGTAAAATGTATGATTTTAGCACCATATTGTGGAAAAATATGTACCGTGCAGAATCCACGAGGTGCTACAACTGACGGTTGAAAATACACACTTGCAAAAATCCAAAAGAGCCGTTAAGTAACAAGTTGTTCTTTTCCCCATATGTCCATATGTTTGGGAAAATTACACGTCTGAAGCGCTCTTGACACGTAATTGCCTCGCATTCCCTCACCCAAAAGGTGCCAGTCCGGCAGCAGCGTCACCGCCGTGGCAGTGGGTGTGAGGGGAGGCCGCGTTTGCAGCAGAGCAGCGTGCCAGCAGCTGCGCCTCACGACGGGAGGGCTGCTGGAGGCTTTGCTTTCCCGAGCTGGGGCGTGCAGCCGGCGGCTCTGGCCCTGGCCCGTGGCCAGCTGGGCCCCGCAGATGAAAGATTAAGAGATACGGAGAGAGCCTGTGCATTTTTGCAGTGACCACCCACTAGTGAGCCATATCTTGGCCTGAGAGCAGACGTTAGCACTGTGATGCGTGAGGCAGGAGTCTCTTAGCACCCCCTGAACGTTGTGGAAAAAAGGGGAGCAAAGCATTTCAATAATAATTTTTTAAAAGGCTCCTGCTTTGAAGAATTGCGTGTAGCCTGCATTCCAATTCGCTCCAGCTTCCTGAACTAGCTTCACACGCTGCCTAATTATTTTTTTTTACAGATGAATTGTGCTACCTCCTCCTCCCAGCCATCGCAGATTTGTTTATCAGAGTCAGTGCTGGGAGTGCATCCCACCGAGTGCTCCGCCGGGGCCGCATCCTGGCGCTCTGCGCTGGGCAGGGGCTGCTTTGCACTTCCAAAAGGCCCTACGCCTGTGCTTGCCCTCAGAGTTCTGCAGAGTCCCTAAGCCTTACGTGCAAAGTCGGAAGCACTCTTTACTGTCCGCATCAAAGAAAACACTTTTTAAGACACTTCTGTGCTATTCAGGAGGAGAGGGAAGTGTTTATGATCCTGACAATACCCATGAGTTTTAGTTAAATTAATTTCAAAATCACGCGTGTTTGTTTTGGGGGAGAAATTCAACACAATTTGTGAAGTTTTTTTTCTAGTACCACATCAAAGATTTGATCTTTTGGTACATATGGCTATATAAATTTTACCTGTTTTATTTTGCATTAAAATAAAGGCTTTAAGACTACGTATGACTATGGATTTGCATGTTGAGTCTTTCTCTTATATGTATCTACAAAGTCATCCTTACCTCTGGATGTGATATGATGGTAGAAGATGGTGCGTGGTCAGCCCGGATCAGAACTGGTAAGGTGATTTTCACAGAACAAACCACTACAGCCACGTGCTGTATTATGGAAAATGCTGTCACCAAACTTACCTGGTTTCTTATCAAATCTGCATTGTCTTCACTTGTAGCAACAGAGTCCTGATTTTGTAGCCCTGACTGAAAGGAGGAGCGAGAGAGAAGTCCCTTGCCAACTCAGCAAATTTCAGCTTAGGCAGCTGCGCGCTTGTTGCTAGAGCTCCCCAGGCAGTTTCATCTTGCCATCAGGCTCTTGCCTTCGATAAGCACCGAACTGTCCTGTGGCTGTGCAGGTCCTGCTGGCTGAGGCTGTATTTCAGCGAGACGGCTGCAGCGCTATCTGCCCAGAGATTTAGGACTCCTTGAAAGTTTTACACAGGTACTTAACTTGAGGTACGTGGGTCATTTTGCCAAAGCTGATGACACAACTTTTCATGCTCCAGATTATGCACGAGCATAAATCTAAGTAGAATCAGATCTATGGTTTGCAGAGCATACTGAGATTCAGGCAAGAGTGTTATATTTATGTTAGGTGATGTCATTTTCAAAATAGCGGGTATTTAAGTGAAAAGTCACTGGAACACAGAGAAAGAAGAATGTAGTCTTTCTGAAAAGCAAATTTGTCTGCAAAGAAAATGAAAGAGTAAAGAACAAAGTGGAAGGATAGAAAAGTACAGGTTTACAGAAATTGCAGTATGCTCCAAAACATTTTGAACGCAGACTTTGGCATTTATGGCCAAGCCACCGTTCATGGGCAACTCTGAGTAAATTTTAGTCCATATTAAATTGTAATTCATTTAGGCACCAATTTTTAAAGTTATTGAGTCATAATTTGCATTCATTGCTAAAAACTGGGCAGGTAGCATACTAGTGCCTAATTTCTCCTTCTACTCAAGTATACGCAGTAGGAAAAGGCAAACTAAGAGTATATTAAAAGTTGAAAACTTGGTGATCAGAGTTTCAAAAGTGCTCTGGCAATCGGTGGGAGAGGGGAGCAAGGGAGAACAGTAAATGATGGCGACACAGCTGGCAAAAAGGGAAAGGGATAAAGAATTAGAATGGAATGGAATGGGGAGCAGGGTAGAGGGTCAGACCTGAGCAGGAAAGAAGTGATGGAGAGGGGATTGTCCCCAACATGCGAAGTTTAGTGCCAGCAAGGAAAGTGACTCTCCAATATGCTGACCACTGCTCCCATTTCCACTTTGCATGAGAGGCTTGTGACATCCACTAAGCCCACTGAGTCAGGAGCTGTTTGCAGCACAAAGCAAATGACTCCTGACTCAGTGGGCTTAGTGGATAGGTGTCACAAAACAGAAGGGCAAGAAGGAATTGAGGAAACCCATCAACTAGTATGGGGAGAGAAAGAGAGTCCCTGCTGCCCAAATCTCCCAACCTTTTGCCCACCTGTCTCTCTTCACCTCCCTGAGTACCACTGCCACCACCAAGTCCCGTTCCTTCCCAGCTCTCCCTCTCCTCAAAGACCCACTCTGAGCCACAAGTCCCCAACACCACATTGACCTTCAAACACAGCTTTGGCCTTCAGTGCTGAGAAGCCTTGATCCATCTGTGAGCATAGGTAACCAACACCAGGAGTTTTCCTGGCACCCAAAAGCGATACGGAGTCAAAGCAAGCAGCATGGAGCAGGCGTTCTCACATGGTGTGGGCTGGGGCTGAGCCACCGTTCCTGATGTGGACAAGTTGTGGTCACCTCCAAATCAGCTGCTTTGTGGGTATAGATTGCAGGAAAGATGCGCTTTATATCCACAGTCATTTGTTTGTCTAGAACAAGCCTTTGATGTGTTCAAAAGCTGTTCTGTTGCTGACCTGGAACAAAATTCAGGGGCCAAAATTATGATTGTAGTTTAAAACAGAATTAATTCTCCAGACATTCCCAAAACATACCTGACAAACTAACCCTAGCTGGATGAGTTGGCTGTGCTCACAGCAAAAGCAACTCAGAAGCAGAGGAAGCACCCTGCTTTGCTTTTCCAGAAGAATATCTGCATCTGAAAGAAAATAATTTATTGGGAAATATGTACAGTAGAGTAAAATTGCAAAATAAGATATTCAGTGGGGATTCTATATAAAACCATGCCCTTTGCCTCTAGCAGGTAATGAATAAGAATGATATAAGGAAGCAATGAACACTCAATGTTTTATATTTAAAATATGTTTTGTGAGGAAAACAATGTGGCATAGAAACAGGACTGAAAGGTTCTTCAAGATAATGCCAGCAACTGCAAGATGTCAGCAGCATTGTCGTGTAAGTTTCAAGGTGTGGGTTTTTAATTTTCTCTTATGAATCACAGAAGGCAGACGTGAAAGCTGTCATTAAAATTCATTACAAGAAAAGCAAACTTATATTAAAACCAACCCCATTCCTCTCTGAATTTTGGGTACTGGTTAGGAATCACTGTCTGCCTTTCTGCCAAAACCTTACCTACGCAACATGATTTAATCTCTAGGCTGTTAAATCTGAGTTTTCATACATCACCTTCTTCAATCCAGAGTACAAAAAGCAAATAAATATATATATATATATTTATTGCTACTCTAAATTGCAGCCTAGATTTTCAGACCAGCAAGCTACAGTTTTAAGAGGCTTCATCTGCCATAAATTTTCTAGGAATGAAAAGAGAATGAAAAGTAGAGCAAATATGAAGAAAACAGATTAGAAGTAATTAAGAGAAGCAGCCCTCTTTCGTCCTTCCATTCTCCTTACTGCTAGGTATGTCTATATATATACGTAATGCATGTAAACTTAGGTATTGTTGCTTTGGACCTAAAATCCAGTTTCCTCCTCCGATATATTTGTAGCCATTCTCTCTCTCCAAAGGAAGGAGGAGTCAGCAGTAACAGCAATATACGCACATGAAAAAATCTGCTGTAAATTGTGACCTGCTGGTGGATGGATGTACAGACCAGGCGGGACTGAGCTGTAAGAGAGGAGATGTTCAGACAGCAGCATTCCCATGTGCTGCACACCGGCCCAACGCCTGCAGCTCTGTAAGTGGCAATTTGCAGAGGAGGACTGATTTTGCAGGGAACTCCCTGCCTGGCTGTGGGAGGGTTTGCCACAGTTGCCGCAGCAGGTGAGTGCTGTGGAGCCAGCAGCAGGACCATGGCATGGTGGCAGTGTGATCAGTGGCCTGGTCAGGATGGGAAAGATTGAAACCAGAGCAGAACTTAGAGCAAATAGCTGAGGCTGCTCTGGGGTGATGTTAGGCAGCCTGCTGGTTACTTCAGGAAGCAGAGGAAGTCATAGGTGCTCTTGGCATGTCCAGGTGCCAGCTCTACATTCAGATGTGGCCAGATCAGTCACAGCTACAGCGTTAGATGCAGGAAGAGTATTTCTGAGTCCATTTGGATGAACTTGCACACATCTTTTTTATAGTGGAAACTGTCTCTTCTTGCTTCCCTCCTTCCTCTCTTCATCCTTTACATGGAAGCAAGCCCTCCAGGCCTGTCATTTTCTTTATGTATAAGGAAAGGTTGATGAGGCCTGAGTCCAATGTTCATTTAACCTTGCTGTGCTGCCAGGTTCTGCCCTGCCCCATCCCACCCTCCTAGCTCTTGGGCCCACCCCATCCTCCAGGCCTTTTCTCCTTCCCAGTTGTAAGGGTTTTTATTGCTGTGAGAGGACAAAAGTAACTGAGCTGCTTCTTGGGTTCAAAAAGAAAAAGTCATTTTTCTTCACTGTGCTGTTTTTAACATGGACTGTTTCCCAGCTCTGTCCCCCAAATTGTTTTAATGGCATGAGAGTGGATAGAAAAGTGATGGGAACAAGGCTGGGGGGTCAGGATAGGTTGGAGAGTGGTTAGGCTGCCGTTGCTACAAAACAGAAATGGAAAAGCAAAGCATGAACACTAAATCACAGCCAAAGCACAATGTATTTAGGGGCTTGGATTTGAAAAGCCAAGCACCATCTTCTGCTAATGGTTACATTCCTCTGCAAGTTTACTTCTGGCCAAGTTTCCTGTGAGCAGAGGCAGTGTTCTCTAAATTTGAATTCCTGAGGCTCTTGCTTGTGGATTTTCTTCTGTGTTCAGCATTAAAAGAGGAGAAATCACGAGGCTAAAGTTGGGCTGTGGCTTTTTCCTCCTAAGATGAGCAGAGGCACCAAGGGGCCCTGGGATCCCTCCCCCCCTTGCAGATGGGCATAGCACAGAGATCACCTCAGTGGCCTGGGGACATGGGATACCAGGGAAGACAGGGCAGTTGTGGACCCATCTGTGCAGGACTCACTGAGCTTCCCTCCTCCATGGGCTTTCTCAACTCGAACTGGTTCCTGGGTAAGGCTGTTTCTGTCAGTGAGGACACGTTGGTCCATCAGTAAGTGCATGGCTGCTGCCAAGGCAACTGAATGGCTGTGACGTTGGTGGCTGAGGCCATTGCTCAGAGCCACAGCCATGGTGGAGCTCCAGGCTTCACACAGGTAAAGTGCTGCCCAAAGGCCTCTGTGTGAGGAACACACATGGCAGCAAGTCCCCAAGAACAGCCAGGATGCTCACTGTCACTATCCTGGTGGGGTTTTAGGTATTTTTAGGGCCATTTTGCTCTCCTGGCAGTGTCTAGCTAAGGGCTGCCAGCAATGATTCACGTCACCTCGTAACATATATTTCGTCAGCCCCAGGCTTGGCTGGCAACAGGGACATGTGGGTAAGGCTCCCTGGGTCCTTGAGGCACAAGAGGAGGCATTTTGCCAGCTGAGCTCCAGGATTCTCCCAGTCCTGTATCTGCTGGAGAACAAAGGAGGCTCTTGGCCCAAGATGTGCATGTTTTTAGCAGTACATCTTTGTTTGGTTACGTTTGTCTTCTTTGGTGCTTCTGCTGAACAAGAGTCTGTTGTTCTCTCACCAACTTCAACAAGGCTGAGTCCAGC